TATAAATTGGTGCTGATTTTATAATTGCGCAGTTTGTTTAGTTTTTTCTTACTTTTAAATTCCAACTTAAAATTATGAGGTTTCAGAAATATATTGAAAGTTTAACAATGTTTAAAAATAGAAGAGCATGAGAATTCATGCTTTAAAAATGATTTTTAAATTTGTATTTTATATTGTTTTATCTATCTGTCTTTGCAAGCAGTCTTCAGGTTAAAGATACTTCTAACAGGTTACAGTACATTTCCTCTGTATGTAAATTAGATTGGATAATAGAAATTCATAAACAACCCTTAATATCCTTTGAAAGCTAAGCTTTAAACTTCATTTTGTGTCCATTCACAAATAAATTAAATTTGGTCTAAAACAGAAAGTGGATCTATGCCATTTTGACATCGACTCATTTTGCAAGGCTTAGGCAGCTAGGCATCATTTTAAAGGAAATATTAACTTATATTACATATGTATATTTTTTGTCAGTTGTCTCTCAGTTCTTGAGGTATATTATTTTAATCATTCCATGCCTTAATATGCTTGCAATACAAGAAACTCCCCAAATGGGTGAATACAAAAAGGCTTCCTGTTTTTAGACTCAGAAATTAAACATTCGGCTGTGGTAGCCAAAAACCATAGATTATCTAAAGCATCATGATAAAATATAATTATTTTACTAAGTCATGGGGTAACAACAAACTCAAAACTAGATCTGCCTAACTCATTTTACATAAATAAATACTCTCATGTCTAAAAGTACTGCCTATATTGTTTTTCACACCACTGCATTTAATAGAACTGCTGAGAGGACTGTATATATGATTTTAAACTTAAGTTGATTTTTCTTACTCTTGAAGGAGTGTTTCTTTGTGAAAGCAGTTCTTACAGCTTTGTTTTCAACCAGCTAAAAATGTTTTATATATTTACCTTAACCTGTTGTCCTCCACATTCTATTGTCCTAATTGTACTGTTTTCTGATTTGTATTTATGTCTTGAGACAGTAACTTTTTGAATAAAAATAAACCTACAGTATGTTGTATGTTTGATCTTTTTAAATCGGGGTTAGGGGAGGACAGTGAAGAAAGGGGTATGAGTAATGCAAATGTTATGTTTATAGAAATCAAAATCTTTTTCCATGTCTTTTAAGTGTTTGTCTCAGAGTTGGGATAATGTATGAAAAACTGCACTGTTTTATATTTGTAATAAATTGTACAAGTTTTTAAAATGTGAATAAAGCACTAATTGGGTAATAATTTAAAGTAGAAAAGTTAATGCAATCATGATTGTTTTAAATATGCTTTAATTTGAGATAAACTTGTTAAAAGATTAGTGTAAATACAGAGTGAGCTTTTCAAGAGGTTAGTACCTGCAAATAAAATTTTTAAAATTTGTATAGAACTTTTACATGCCAAGAAATCAATGGTTAATTATTTTTGTGTTATGCTTTTTTAAAGGTGTATCAATAGCCTTTCTGTTGGTTTCTTTTTCCTCTTAGCTTTTATCTGACATTATTCAGAATGCTTTTGATTCAGACATTGGAGATACTGTATATATTCCAATTGAAATACCACTAAAAGTGTATGCTACTTACCATTTCTTACATTTATCATACACCTGATAAACATTCTAAGCTTAATTGGCAAGACAGCAAGGAAATGAGGGGAAAAACCCTAAACATCTCTTCCCTCCTACTCCCCTCTCCTCAGTTACTGAGCAGCTGTGGCTGGGTGTTGAAAACTCCTTTCTGTTACAAGGCTTTTTAAAGGAGTCATTTTAAAATCTTAGAGCTAATACGTCTAATCTTTGCTAATGTAACTTTGGATGGTTTTTTTATTATTATTATTAATCCTGCTGTAAGTTCAATAGTATCTTGTGGAAAATGGTTTTAGTAGGTTCTAAGTTTATAACACAAGAAAAATACCTTCACTATACAATGTAAAGTCTGTTCTAGTTATACCATTTTCGTACAAAAGCCTTTAAATGAAAGAAATTTGAGTTTTGAAGAGATATGTGATAAAAATGTAGAAAACAACAAACAATTCAGAGAAAGCAAAGCCTGTCCTCTAGTTTACCAAAGAGGCCACAGAGAAGATACTGACACAGAATGAAATTCAAAGGAATAGTCTTCACATATTCTGTAAAAAGTATTTCTTGATATTAAACAACCAAAGACAATATGTAAGAAGTTAGTGATTACTGTTGTTTGTTTGTTTGGTTTTCCTTTGGATGGTGTGGTGCTGATTCCTGTAGCTTGTTAGAGCCGGTAAATCCCCATCTTCTCTAATCTCAGTAGAACTAAATAATTGCGTCTTTAAAATTTACTCCTCTCTGTTTTCCTGATAGTTTATACATACACTTGTCCTAGCATGGGATTTCAGGATACCGATACTATTAACTTCAACTTCCTACCATAAAAAGTCTACTGAGTTTTTTGAGATACTTTGATTCACAATAGTGTTTTGCTGCTTTTCAATCTATAGCTACGTTACTATTTTTTTTAATAGCCTAATGAATGTCATGGGCTTGTTCATTCTTTGAAGCATTTGTCAAAATTGTCAATTTGTGCTTCAGAATTCTTTTGATAAAACACAAATTGGTTCTTTAAAAATATACTCATTCCTACTTAACTGCTTTAATTTAATTTTCTTTAATCAATTTATGGTACTGAAATGCAGCTTATGCTATTCCCTCATTTTTCATAATCCTAAACAATCTCTAGTACGGAGATTGTTTAATTTCTGATATTTATTGGCATCCAAAACGGATCACATCTTTGATGGAGGTGGGTGATGACATGTACTTGGAAAACAAGGTAATGTAGGACAATACTATTCTATAATAATAATTCTATTTAAAAAGTAACAATGCCATGTCAATTGTGCCTGTCATTTTCCTTAGCTGTCTTTCTCTCCTGTATCCCTTCTTCATGTTGCTGAGCTTTCTTGAATGTATTTCTTTGATTAAATCTTAACTTTCATATTTTTTTAAAGTTTTTAACAGCTAGACTTCGAGTCATTGCAGATACTGTAAATGAGTGCCTTCCAACTGGAGATTCAGTTGCTTTTTTTTGTTGTGCTTTTTGTAGCTACTGCCAGATTTTATAAATGTAAATTGTAGTGGCAGTACAGTGGTAAGAAGCTATAACCATGCCCAGAAAAATGATCCAAAGCATGTTAAAGTGATAGGATGGATGGCTGACAGAAACCCGCATGAGAACTTCCCTGTTCTTCTAGAGAATATGTACAGTTTTTTGTAATGTAATCAAGTTTCCCTAAACTGATTGTGTAATTTCTGCTAAGCTTTTCTGAGCATTTTTTGATTGAAAAAGAGGAGGAAAGGCCATCATATTTTGCCTATATTAACTATTTTTGTTGAAGAAAAAGCTGCAGTTACCAGTTTTAAAAGTTAAATTTGTGTTGAGCTGATAACAGCTTGAATTCTGGACTTTTAGAAAAGCTATTTAAAAAAAATTAATACCGTAAACTATAAATCAAAATAATAAAACCTCTAGAGGTCCTAGAACATCTCAAATTGGGAAGGGTGTGTGAAGTTGGTAGTTACTGCGTGAAAGCATTCTAATAATACAACAAGGTTTTGGAGAAATTGATTAATTAGTTTGATGAAGACAGTTTCTTGTGTGTTGAGGTGGGTAGTGACAGGTCAGATCAATGCGGACAGCAGCAGTTTGTTTCAAATTTGGAAGGCTGTGGACATACCTAGAATGCTCTCTTGAATAAGCAACCAATGTCCCGTTTATTTCCATTCTTTAAGAGTGCCTTTGCGAAAGCTTTTTTTTTCCCCTTCTTTCTGCGTCGCCCCCCCCACCCCCCCCCCCCCCGATACTAATATTTTTATGATTTATTTGTCAGAATTTTAGCAGGGATCGTGTCCTTGTCCTTATTTAGCCCTTCTCTAGACTGCTCATTCAATACATTTGACCTTAATGTAAACTTTTCCCCGTGTACCTTTCTCTCAAAATTGCTCGTAACGTCTGTCAACAGGCATTGCAAGACAGGGGTTCCTTGGGAATTGGTATGAACACTGTGCCGTAGTTAATGCAGTTAATAGTTGGTTTGGGTCGGCTCAGAGCTATGGTACGTATGACGGGGCTTCATCTCAACCTTCGGATCTTGCGCTGCTCAGCCTGAGTATTTATCTGATAGAGTGCTTCAGCCTTTGAGTACGGTGTTGGCAGCTCCACGTGAAACCTCTTATTTACCACACTATATGGCCATTCCAGGAAGCCACGCAATTTGCTGTTGCTTTTTAAATAGCAGTTAAACCACAGTTCTTGAGTGACGTACGTGCAGATCTCTTATTTTAACACACTCTCTTCACAGGTTTATATTCTGTTTTCTTCTTTTTAGACTGCTCAACTCCCCCAAAAGCAAAAAAGCAAACCACACCCACTTGTTTTTCATATCATGCACAAAAGCACTTAGAGGTGTGGCATATCTTATATTTAGCCTGCTCTTTGTATTTTTCATCTTAAAATACTGAGCTGTCTTTTACACAACTGTTCTTGCATATCAACTGACAAAAGCTGTCTTTTCATTATTTCTGTTGCTGGCTTATAATCCTTTGAATCTTGAAAAGCAGATTTTTGGGGCGGTTTTTTAACTGAAGTCTTCCATTACAGGCAGGAATTGAAGTGCTCTATGAAACCTAGGGAAGTGGCTTTGTCAGTGAAAACACTGTCTTCTCATTTGCATCCTGTTTGAGGTACTGATGGTGTTATGGTTCAGGGGCATATTGCGTAAATGCTTGTAACTGGAGAAGCCTACAGATTTGGACTACCAGTAGTTTCCTTGTTTAGGAACTATTTT